AAGTATCCGAATATTACAAAGTTCTTTCGCCCGACGTTGGCATTCTCCGGTGGCTGGAAACGTTTGGCCATACTGTCCGAATTCAGTAATTATAACACCCAATGTTCCAGTGATAATTTGTTTAGTGTGGCGTACCGCCAGCTCCGATTACAAGGGCTCCTATGCACTCCAAATCACTACAATATAAATGAAGAGGTCAGCCTGTAAGCCAACCAAACACTCATCCAATAACAATCCCTCTTATCAGTTTTATCGACCTCAGAGGTGGGAATGAGAAAAGAAACCATTTTAACTCCATATGATACTACGGGGAATCGAACCCCGAGCTACCGCATGTCGAAATTATCACAGGCTCGAGCTGTCATTCTCTACGACAATGTTAGAACCTTATACACCATATCCGAATATTATACTGGAGGCCAGCTCGACAATTGTAAGTGGTACATCTGAGTCATTGACATTTTGGGGGGAGGCCTAGGGACTTCAAAGTAAGAAAGCTTCGAACACAAAGGAACCTGGCCCCGGTCGGGTCCCATACGCATGTACGTACATCAAATTTCTAGCCAGGGATAAACATTAATCTGGGGCACCATCCGTTCAAATACTAGAATGAGTTTCTTAAGTAAGGCTCCACAACAAACTTTGAAGTCACGTATAAGTTTTAAAAGACAACATATACATACCTACTGACAACTTCATAAAGCTGATAAATATTTCCAAACTCATGAAGCAAAAACACTCATTGCAATGAGCGCGCAAGGCCCGACTCGGATACGGGGAATCGAACCCCGAGCTGCCGCACTTGAAGAATCACGATTTCCAGTTAGGCGCGATGAAAAGCAGCAATGTTAGCCTTTTACACCATATCCGATTATGATAAGTCTATCTTTCCCGTGGCCATGCTTGACATTCTGGAAATGATGCCAGGAAAGTGAATGGATGTGGTACAGTGCCGCATGAGCGGAGGCTTATGGCAGTCAATAGCCCTTTATTTCCCAGAGCCTTGGAGATTACTGATCATACAAGGATAACATGAAATTAATACCTGAAGGGAAAAAATGGGTGAGCATGATGCAACGTGAAAAAAGTGGGTCAGAAGAGGTGTGGCGCATGAATTCTAATAATAGATCACGTAGGAGAAATTTGATGGCGACGATACATATGGTGGAAATATATCATACAGTATCTCACAATACCTTCAATGCAACCCATGATCAACCTGAAGAATCCGGAAAGAAAAAGGGAGGAATTGGAAGGACCATGGTATAATTGGATATGGGGAATCGAACCCCCAAGCTGGCCAGTGCCGCGTCACGCACCCGCGATTGAGAGAGGTGGCAGGCAATGGTAGCCCTTCATATGCACCTTATCCAAATTATTTCCCCAGTTAATCGCATTCTGGAGACATTCAAGTTGAAAGAGAAAGAGAAAACATGTGGTGGAAAGGAATAAAGACTTGATACGGAACCTCGACCTGTTGTGTTCCGTTGAACAAGAAGTGCCATTGAGAGGCAGCAATGTTAACCTTTACTGGAAACGTTTGGGCCGTGCTGTCTTCAGTACTTCAAAATACCCGATGTACCAGTGATAAACCCCAGCCCCGTTGCAGCCCCGATTACAAGGGCTCCTATGCAGCAAATCACTACAATATAAATGAAGAGGTCAGCCTGTAAGCCAAACCAAACACTCATCCAGTGAAAATCCCTCTTACTTATCAGCTTTATCAACCTCAGAGGTGGGAATGAGAAAAGAAAACATTTTCACTTCATCGGATACTAGTAACTACAGGGAATCGAACCCCGAGCTACCGCATGTCGAAATTATCACAGGCTCGAGCTGTCATTCTCTACGACAATGTTGGAACCCTTATACACCACATCTGAATATTATACTGGATGCCAGCAAAGTGAATGGATGCAGTGCAGTGCAGTGCTGAGCGGAACTTATTAAGCTTACTATGGCGGTCAATAGCCCTTTATTTTCCAGAACCTTGGAGATTACTGATCAATCAAGGAAAACCTGTAAAGTACTACCTGATGGAAGAAGTGAGTGAGCTTGATGCAGGTGAAAAAAATGGGTGGGAAGAGGTATGGCGCATGGATTTGGCATGGATTCTAATGATCATGATAGATCACTCAGAGATTTGATGGCGACGATACATATGGTGGAAATATAACATGAAATATCACACAATATCTTCAACAAAACGCTTGATTAACCTTGAAAAATCGGAAAGAAAAAAGAAGAATCATAAGGGAGTATGAGATTTGGATGCGGGAATCGAACCCCAAGCTGCCGCATCAGGCAACCCTACGCGTGAAGAGAAGTGCGATTGCCATGAGAGGAGGCAATGCATGTACTACGCTATATCTGAATATTATAAGGTCCTTTCTCAGCCTCTGGTATTCTGGAAACATTTTGAAAGTGAAGATACGTGGTGGAGACGGTGTGAGGGTTCTATGGTGTACCAGAAGAAATTCGCTGGGACAAGGCTAAACTGTAGCCCCCATGAGTCGAATCCAGTCAAAGAAAAACCACAAATAGTACTTCGGGAGCGAACCATGCGCAGAAAGACAGGATTGAGATGTCAAAAATACGACATGGACGAGAGTATAAGTATTCGAAGATCTAAGTAAGTAGTACTAACCCACATTGGATTATAAACTTGAGGCATTGCCAGAAACATAAATCTTGTTCCACATAAGTTGTGGCCCCTCAAAGACGACTTTTGACCTTTCCAAGGTAATTGATATCTTGCCAGTACTTGATCCACAGCTCAACATCCTCTTTTCCGATTGGCCTGAGGGAGCTCATTGTACGTGGACTGGTTCTGCACATCATCTCCGTCGTAAACGTTGGAAGATGATATTCAACCTTAACTTCAGACGACGGGATTCGGCTCATAAGCCTAGTTATCTCTCGGAAATGGGAAAGAAGCGCAATTGCGGGCTATGGAACAGGGAGGGTTATTGCTTAGATTTGACGCGAATGACATAGGACGGTTTGACTTACAATATCTCTCAATGTCTCTGCACTGGCATTAACAGAATGCCGCTCAACTGCTGAAACCCATTGCTCTGGAGATACAACGTTCAAGTTTACGCCGAAGAGTTCCTTTGTCGCAGCTATCAAATAGCCATTTACCGCAGCCATATCTGTGGTTCGTGGATTTACGAGATTCACTGCTTCAGGCAGTGCGTTGCTACTTGAAGCCGCTTCAACGATTGCAGCTGCAACAGCATTCATTGGAACCCAGGAGATAACCTATAAAGATCATATTTGTTCAAAATGGAAGCTCGGAAGAACCCACAAGGACATACCCCTCTGGTATCTGGAAAGAGTTTCATAGCAATACTCGATTTGAGGAGTGTGGGCAACCATTCTGTGGTTTCCCATACACCGTTCGGGGCTCCTCCACAGATCTGACCAATCCTAAATGAGGTCGTCTGCAAACCGCTCTTTGCTAAAATCTATGACGATGAACATATTAAAGTTTGAACGGGGAGTGATAGTTGATGCAGACATTACCCTCTCTGCGATGTATTTGCTCGCTCCGTATCCCCCTCCAACGGCGTTGGAAGAGTCAATAACAATTTCTTCAGGATAAGGACCCTTTGATGGCGGCCACGACTGGGCACTTGTTACAGAGGAAGTGAAGAGGAATCGCCCATGAGCTGCGTGGGTTCCCGCTCTGAGGAAATCGGCCAGATTCCGTGTCGCTTGGATGTGGGGCTCGAAGTCTAACAATGGACTGGTAAAGGACACTTGCCAGGCATTGTGAATGATAACGTTAACCGATGTACTGAGCTTGACGGTCGTCAGCATTCTGAAACTTTGAGTGTAAAAAAAGATACGGACACGATTGTATTGGTCACTGGCAATACCTAAGTCTTGACGTGTCGCATCTCCTAAGATATACGACAACTTTTCCGAACGAAGAATGTTGGTATCAAGACGACGTTCGTTGAAAGCCTTGATTTGTCGCTCTTCAATAGCATCTCCGCGTGTAGAAAGGCGATTGAAAGTGTAAACATGTTCAACTCTGTCGTTCTTCAGGAGATCAACGAGGATTTCTGAGCCCAAATTTCCGGTGGACCCCGTTAGGAGAACGACAACAGGACCTTGTAGGATAGGCCGTGGGGCAAGTTTGGCAGGGAGCGGATCCAGGCCGACTGAATACTGTTCAATCAGAGCTTCAATAGCAGCAGCGCTGGCTCTGACGTGCCGGTTGAACTTCCGGCCGCGTTGCGTTCTATAGTTGCAAAAGGTTTGAGTATCTCTTAGAAAAATATGGAAAGACATACAGATTAGAGGTCGTTCCCGACTGCAGAGGAGATGTAGGGGATGGCATAGTGACGAGCGGTCGTTGGATGGAAAGGGACCTTAGCGCAAGCTTTTAAGCCGACATGGGTAAGTATGATAAGACAAGTGAAGACCCGGAGGAGTAAGACCTGAGTAAAATTGGAAGATGGTTTGGTTTACAGGACTGGGTGCCTGCAAAAATCATGACATGCTCAATGACTAGCCGCACGTTGTACTAGCGTTTGTACATACCGAAGTACGGATAAGTGGGGCGCACATATGAAACAACCCATGCTTAAGGACCCGAATAGTTGGCCAAAAGAAGGTGGCGAACTACTACCCCGTTTTCATAATCCATGGCTCATGAGAACTTTAGAATATTACTATCGTTGACAGTTGAATGTCGTGTATTGGTCGACTGGATTTCAAGTTAAGAGAAGTGTGTTGGCAATGGATCTGTCAAGAGAGGGCGTGAAATTTGAATCATGTTCGAATCTTAAAAAATACGCCAGTAACGAGACGTCCTCAAGACGTCTCCAGGGTCACCATGATGCAGGCCGCCGGCGAAGAATCTCGACAGTGGACACGTCCTGGTCAAATGCCTCCAGAAAGCCTCTAAGTAACCAGGATCCGATTGACCAGGGTATTGTTCCGTTAAGTATATTAGCCCCTGTGGTCCAGTCAGGCTCCAGTAAGTATATTCGGGATTTGACTATATATACTTACTGTTAGTATACTTAGTTGCGAATAAAAAAAGACATCGATGATCGATTTGGTGGCGAAGCGGTAATTTGAGTACCAGTGGTGGCTGTGTAACGCGTTCTCTCACTTAGGACGTTCACCATCATGCATCAGCGCTGCAGCTCTCAGCGCTCAGCCTTCGATGGTAGCACCAACGGGCAACCAACCAATGCAATATCTGACACTATACCGTATTATGTATACCATTCTTAATTGCATACATCCCTTATCAGTCTTTTAACTCGGGTATCATTGTAGGCCACTGCTGTGTCAACTTTGCGATTCATTTTTCTTGGTCCCGACTCTTGCCCGAACACACAGGGCGTCGCTATATGGTAAATTATATCCCAAATAACGGTACGTACGCCGCGTTCATTTCTTGAAGAGATCTGGTAACTTATTCGCAAATTAGCTGTCTTGGACCTACTGACTGAACGCACGGTGAATGTCGAGCCGTACGCCTTATTTCAGGATTTCCAGTTCCTTTCAACTATATCTTTCCTAGGCTCTATTTAACACCCGAATACTACTCCTGTTAATGCGAGTTGCGAAAACACTGTTTTGGTCTTACTTACTCATTGGTTATCCTAGACTTATCTCCCTCCCTCCAAGTCACTACCCTTACTATGACCCAGGCGATTTTAGTCCCTCTCGCTCAACTTGACCAGAGCTACCTTCATGAAGTCGGCGTCACACTGGGGCACGTTGTGAGGAGCGTAGATGTCCCCGTACTTCGAGCTGCTGCAGTGCGAGTTATCGACAAATGGAGGCTATTGGCAGGTCATGTTGAATGGTCTAAACAGCTATCTAGCTGGTGTGTTAACGTCC